CCAAAAAACCCACTGGCAGCCAGCCCTCCACTGCTCCCCAGGAGCAGTCTGCCAGCTCCCAGGAGCCTGCCAGGGCCTGGTGAAGGCGGGCGCCTTCCTGGTCCAGGGTGGAGATCATGGACCTTATTCAGGTTTGGGGAGGATGTCAACAACCATCATCTCCACACTAGATGATGGAACGTAGCAGTCTATGGCAGGATAGCTGCCAGACTGGCCACCAAAGGCCACATGCGATCCCAGGAGCAGGTTTGCATGAAAATCAAGTTGCTCCAGCAAGACCTCTAACCCTGAGCTTCCCATCCCCGCAGAGACAAAACACTTTGCTGTCCCTCATAGAGGTAGGCAAGCAAGCAGGGAAACCTGAAAACTGGCTGTCGGGGGAGTGGAGGGAGGGGGAAAAGGAGGAGGGGGGAGGAGGGGTGAAGGGAGTCCCTTTAAGCACAGACCTCATATAGCTTCAGGCAGCAGCCCCACACAGTAAGTGCTGACCTGGTGCCCTGCTGGAACTGGTTCTGGCCAGCCTTAAATGCAATTCAGAGTCCACTTAGTGTGGATGCGACATTTCGAAATAGCAAAATGCTATTTCGAAATGCATTTTGTGTGTAGATGCGCTATTTTGAAATAAACTATTTCGAAAGGTCAACAGGAATTTAAAAGCTTCATGGCTAATTCAGAGCCCCTTAAAATATTAGTGTCTTGAAATTCCATTACTGTATATGTCTGCTATAGTATGTATGGTACAAAAAAAAACTATTTAAAATATTTTCCCTTAAATACAAATTGTTTTTCATAAAAAAGATTAAATATTTATTTCTCTTTCCATTCACCTCAAAACCCTCACAATACCTAAGTTTTGGGTGCAGACTTCTTTTAGGTCAGTTATTAAATATTGACAGGGTATTTACATTTTATGATTCAAATGATATTTGGGCATAATTAATAAATTAACCCTTTTCCAAACAGAATGCCATTAATTAAGCCTATTTACCAAAAAGAAGAATATGAATTCAGAGATTTTCAATGGAACTTTTGCTCAAAAGTTCACTTCGAAAATTTTGAAAACAGTTCCAAATTGAATATAGTTTGTAAATTAAATATAAAATGGCTATGACAAATCAAGAACAAAATACCTGTATATGAACAAACCTTGAAATTACAACATATTTAACTTTAAAACTACATATTTCAAAAACAAATTCATTTTGATTTATCCCTTTAAATCTGATTTTAAAGTTCTGTATTTATTATATAAAATTAATAACACTATAAATATTATAGAAAAAGTATTTTCATTAGGTGTTTGTAATGTTTTTTATTCTTGCATGGGAAATAAAATGAATATTTCAGCTCTTAGTAGGTAAGTGCGGGATGTAATTATTTTTCAACGCTTTATTTCAAAATGTAAATATAATTTGTCAGTCTAATCCACAGACGATTAGGAAATGTTAAACAGTTCAGGATTTAAATCAGCTTTCTACTTAATCTGGCAAATATCACAACCATTTTGACACAAAGCAAAAGATACTTTGTTTTCAAGCTCAACATGTCATTTAATCTACAGTTTGTTCTAGCCCGTTTTAAAATGAAATTCAGTTTTGAAAAGCATTGTGAAGCTTACTTGCCTCTTAAAAGACTTCCCCAAATAGTACCACTACTATTAACTAATAATATTAACCCCCATTTTAAGTGATTTCTCTTAGTAGCAGCAAAGGCCAACACTTGGCCATTTCGATTAATAAAACTGTAGTGTATGTGTTCATATTTAAGAAGAATTGACAATTTTTTCAAAAGCTGGTATTTTGTTATTAATATTTCATCTCATGAAAAGCATGAGTGTATTCGACAGGTTGAGCCTTTCTAGTTCAGGACCCTTGGGACCAGACCAGTGTCAAACAGAGAATTTGCCGAATCACGGGAAGTCAATATAATCTAGCAGTACTGCCAACTGAGCTCTTAGAAGATATTTGGGGGGTAATTAGAGCTAATAAGAAGTGGATATCTGGCTAACTAAAAACATGCGGGACCACGGATGTTGCCAGACCAGGGAGGTTCAACCTGTATTAGTAGCCTTTACAGTCTTTTATATTTGCAGATCACATTTTAAAAGGAAAGTGCATATTATGTTTTCTTGTGGAACTAGAGAGCTGACCCTGTTTTCCTGAAGCTGATTTTGTATTTTAAAATGTTTTGTGAGGGAGTGGGAAAAATAGTATTTTTCTTTTTAATATTACAGTCAAAATTTTAAAAGCACTGCTCACTTTTGAAAGAAACTATTTTCACTCTCTATAGGGGATTATTTTAGTTATGGCAATGCCAGATAGCATGTTGTTAAGCCCAATATCAGAAAAAAATGGACACATCAATATAAAATATTAAATTACTAGAAGAAAAAAAAAACAGTAATTAACGGTTCACAATCCTGCTGGAAGGGCATAACAAGTGGAGTTCCACAGGGGTATGTTTTTGGACCGGTTCTGTTCAATATCTTCATCAACAATTTAGATATTGGTATAGACAGTACGCTTATTAAGTTTGCAGATAATACTAAGGTGAGAGGGGTTGGAACTGCTTTGGAGGATAGGCTCATAATTCAAAATGATCTAGAGAAATTGGAGAAAAGGTCTGAGGTAAATGGGATGAAGTTCAATAAGAACAAATGCAAAGTACTCCACTTAGGAAGGAACAATCATTTTCACACATACAGAATGGGAAGCAACTGTCTAGAAAGGAGTACTGCAGAAAGGGATCTAGGGGTCATAGTGGACCACAAGCCTAAATATGAGTCAACAGTGTGATGATGTTGTAAAAAAAAGCAAACATGATTCTGGGATGCATTAACAGGAGTGTTGTGAGTAAGACACAAAAAGTCATTCTTCCGTTCTATTCGGCGCTGATTAGGCCTCAATTGGAGTATTGTGTCCAGTTCTGGGCACCACATTTCAAGAAAGATGTGGAGAAACTGGAGAAGGTCCAAAGAAAAGCAACATGAATGATTAAAGGTCTAGAGAACATGACCTATGAAGGAAGACTGAAACAACCGAGCTTGTTTAGTTTGGAAAGGAGAAGACTGAGAGGGGACATGATAGTGGTTTTCAGGTATCTAAAAGGGTGTCTCAAGGAGGAGGGAGAAAAACATTTTTCCTTTGCCTCTGAGGATGGGACAAGAAGCAACGGGCTTAAACTGCAGCATTTTTTCCTTTGCCTCTGAAGATGGGACAAGAAGCAACGGGCTTAAACTGCAGCAAGGAAGATTTATGTTGGACATTAAGAAAAGGTTCTTAATTGTCAGGGTGGTTAAACGCTGGAATAAGTTGCCTTGGGAGGTTGTAGAATCTCCATCTCTGCAGATATTTAAGAGCAGGTTAGATAGACATCTATCAGGATGGTCTAGACGGTACTGGGTCCTGATGTGAGGACAGGGGACTGGACTGGATGACCTCTTGAGGTCCCTTCCAGTTCTAGTGTTCTATGATTCTATGATCTTTGATTTAAAAATATGCTCTTCCAAACAAGCACAAAAGGTTTTAAAAGTATACAGATGTCAAACAATAATGCTTATAAAGTAATCTATAAGCATGTTTAGAAGTACAAAATATATTTGTTAGTACCATGGATTGATCAAAGCTCTCTCAACAGTGCATTAGCTAAACATTAGAAAAAATTAGATGAAAGTTTTCAACTGCAACCTAAAAACTGGATGTGTTTAATCCACTAGCAAAGTAGAAACATATTAAACTAAAATCTATGGCTAAATTTTTCAACTCAAAGCAATTAGGATACTGAAAAAAATTTAACTACAAGATTGACCTATAGCATTTTAATTCATTAGCCTTACTGATATATCTCAAGTCAATTAATTTAGGAAATGAATTTAAATATATTGTCATCACAATGGATACATCCTTGCACATCTTAAAATTCAGTTAAAAAATTTACAACCCTTGCCCCCTTCACATGTAGAAGTGTTAATGGTTATTATATTTTTAGTGTTTGGACAATCTTAAACTATGTAAGCAAAAGACTAAAAGGCGGAAACGCTATTAATTTGAAGAAGGAAAAATGGGCCAATCTCTCTATATAAACTAAACAAGTTAGATGTGAGTCAATAAGATCAAATAATGGACTAAATTCTGCTCTCATTTCAGCAATCAGTATAATTCCACTTAGTTCAGAATGGTTAGACATGGACAGCAGAATTTCACTCCTCAATCTTCATAATATGCAGCATGCCTAAAAAATAATGTTTTGCTTAATAAAGTCACTTATTCTACCGTTGTGTGACCATTAACAAATACTCTGCATAAAGTCAAATTGTTTTCCCCCTGACATTACCATAATTCTTATGAATAGACTCACTTGAGTTATTTTGGAAAACAATGTTTTGATGTAAGTTTTTTAAATAATGTCCATCTGTGTAATAAAACAGAGAATGGGGGAAAGTCTCGTTTCTTTACTATATAAATATCCAGTTTTGCCCACAACACACAAATGCCCCCCACTCCGGCCAACTGATATTTACATTTCAATATATTGAAAACAAAAATAAAATAAAAAGCATACTAACCAAACAGGTACTGCAGAATATACTGAGGTCCAGACTTCCTGTCTCTGCAAGTTCGACTATTGTCTTCAGAAAAAACAAAACAAGAAATAAAATTAGTATTTAAACTTTTAAACACATACCCATCTATTTTCCAATGTTAAATAATTTCTGTAGCTCAGAATATCTCAGGCTTTGCCCACAAAGAGAATATTTAATTTAAGTAAGTTTAAAACCTATTTAGTTAGTTGGTTCAAAACCCTATGTAGACACTTACTTCCAATTTAAAATAATCTTTTTAGTTTATCTGAAGTCTTTTCTTAGTTGATTTAAGCTAAATAGTTATAAAGCAGGTTTAGACTGACTTAGAACAACCTCCCAGATTTTATTACACAGATTTCACTACACTGATTTGAAAATTGCACATTTAAACGTAACTGATTTACATTTTGATTAGCCCTCAAAGACTACCTTCCAGACAAGACCCCCAGCCCAGAAGGAGAAATTTAAGTTCAGTGCTATACAGTCCAAAATTTCAAAGCTGCAATTACCTACTCCATAGAATGTTCATCTTGTAACCACAAAAGCAGTAATAAACGCCAAACCTCCAACCCACTATGCATCGTGCCATGCTTATGAATCAAGTGATATACAATGGTAGATTTCAGTTACAACATCCCAATTTCTTTATATTAAATTAGATAATTTCAATACGTGTCCTTCCAGTATCTACTTTTTATTAGAATAGTGGTGACTTATTACTCTACGAAATGAAAACAGTCTGCATTTCCAACAATCTTTAAACATCAGCAGCTGAAGATTGTGCCACAAGAGGCGTCTATATAAAGGTTGCAATGTCTGGAAAATATATATTCACAGATTTCAGAAGAATTTTCCTGAAAATATCTTTTACCAAGGCTACTTTTCTTGGTCCAGGAAGAATTCACTCTGATTAGCATAATAGTTAAGGAATAAAATTGAAGACCAATATGGTTGTCTAATGTATACCTTCAGCCATAGTACACAAAATATATTTTAGCTATGGTTCTGGGTTTTAAGTTCCCTGTCTTGTTGGTTATCTTTGGATCCCTATAGTTTTGATTCCTCACCGCCTCTCCTGGTTAAAAAAGAAGTAGAAGATGTTTATGTCTACTCTGTTAGTGTAACAAGCCAAACAAAGGTGGTATGAAAGAAAGTTCTGCCTTTACTTCCTAGCTGAGGAATGGGCTTGAGTATCAGAAAATGACCATGGTAAAAGATTTGGTCATAAATTATATGAAAAGATCAATTACCTTCAAATGCTACTGAAAACTAATCACAGATATATATCAGAAATGAAGAAGCTTGACTCTAGGGATATAAAATCACGTTTAATTGGTTAACCAGTTAAACATGATGTTTAATCGGTTAAGCCGATTAAAAGGGAGGAGGGTGGGAGGGCTGCTCCAGCCCAGTCAGGCTAGAGCTGCCCTTCAGCCTATTGTAGTCAGGCTGGAACAGCCCCTCCTGCTGCAGGCAGGGGCTGCTTCGGATATCTGGAGCAGCCCTGCCTGTAATGTACTTGGGCCCACCATGGACAGGAGCTGCTCCAGTTAGACTGGAGTGCCCGTCGACGGCAGGCCCAAAGGGATTGGAGCAGACCCCTGCTTGTGGCGGGCAGAGAGCTGTTCCAGCCCCCAACGGTTAATCTTTCCCATCCGCACTTGACTCCTAAACTGAACTCAATATTTTGTCAATAAAAGCTCTAGCTTTATTGGAATCGTATATTTAAATTAAAGTAACTTGAAATTTCATTTACTTTCAAAACAGAACTGGCAAAATCTTTAAGCAATGACATTTAAAGTGACAGCTAGTATTAACAAGACAAGGTGAGGTAATATCTTTTGTTGAACTAGCTACTGTTGGTGAGCGATAACATGCTTTCAAGCCTACACAGAACTCTTTTTCAGGTCTAGAAAATGTTTTCAGCGGGTACATCTACCATACAATCAGGCTCCTATGGTTTACCATTATCAGCTGACTCAGGCTCATGAGGCTCAAACTAAGGGGTTATTTAACTGTAGTGTAGATGTTTGGGGTTAGGATCGAGCCTGGGCTGTGAGAGGTGTGAGGATCTAGAATGGGGTGGGCAAGAGGTGGCTAGCGGGCTGGATCCAGCCCATGGCCACTTCACTGGGACCTTTACTACACAGTAGTTCATCCTACTTTAAACAGCTGGCTTCTAATTGCTCTGGATGATGGGGAGGGATGGGGAGGCTTTGCGCTGTGTTCCTGTCCCTAACAAAATCCCTCCGTTCCCACTGGATAGTTTCTGAAAAATAGGAGCTGAGAAATTTTGCTGGCAGCAGGGGCAGCAAGCAAAGCCTTATCACTCCCCCCTGCCATTCTAGAGCAGTCACATGGAGCAGCCAGCCCAGCAGACAGGCAGGGAGCCTGTCTCAGGTTCTACCTAGGTAAGTGCCTCCCAAGCCAGCACCTGCCTCTGGCACTCAACCCTCTCTCTCCCCGTAACATCCTGCCCCAGACCACCACCTGTGCTGCCTCAGGTCACCACCCTAATCCTCTGTATCCCTTCTCCTCACCTCCTCCAGGTTACAAGTCCCCCCCAGACTTGCACCCTCTCCTATACCCCTCCCTCAGGCCAGAATCCTCTGCTCCCTCCATACCCCCCTCCGGACCCTGCACCCTAAACCCCTGTCCCAGATCATAACCCCCTTCTTCACCTAAACTTCCTCTCAGACCCCACACCCTCTCCTGCACCCCAGTCCTCTATCCCAAGTTCCCTTCTACACCTCACCCGCCATCCCAGACTTCTCACTCCCTCCAAAGATGTGCAGCTCTTCAGCACTTACCAAAATCTTGAAGTGTCCCCCCCATTACAAATTATTGCCTGCTCCTGGTCTAAAAGCTTGGGCTTCAGCCTGAACACAAATGTCCACACCACAATTAAACTGCTATTTGTCTATGTCTATAATAGAAATCTTACAGCAGCACAGTCATACCACTGCAGCTGGGTCACTGTTATATCTCTCATGTAGCTGCTATATGGCATCCAGAGAAAACTCTTCCGTCAACATAATTAATCCACCTCCAATGAGTGGTAGTGACTATATCAGCAGGAGAAGCTCTCACTGACAGTGCTGTGCACACTACCACTTATGCTAGAGCAATCTGTCACCAAGGGGCATATTTTTCACACCCCCAGCAGCATACATTTTGCTGAGTTAAGCGCTGCTGTAGATATGGCTTTAGCCTTAGCCAAGTCAGCTGGGCCGGGCCAGGCCAGCCCTGGATGTCTAACTGCAGCATAGACAAGAATGTCACAACTAAATACAAGTGGAACAGATTGTTTAATATAAGCAGTTAAAACATATTTTAGGGGACTAAACAAATTGAAATGGTCAGTTAACACCTCTCCAATCAGAGGACGAAAGCAGGAGGGGAAAATACTAAGGGCAGTGGTAGTGGGTTATAGATTGCTGTAGTAAGTCATAAATCCAGTGTTTTTATCCAGTTCATGATTTTAGCGCCTAGCAAGGTTATGAATTTAACAGGGAATTCTTCTAGAGGTGCTGTGCTGGTTTATTTTGAGGATGGGGACTGAGAGGTCTAATACAGGGAGATCTCTGTGTAAAAACTTGTCATCCACAGCTGATAACAGTGATTTTGTCCCCTACAATAGTCCCTTGAAATATATGATAGCTACTTATGCTAAACAATGTTTCACCTTGTATTTAATTGTGACACTGAGTACATTTCTCAGACCTGAAGAGCTATGTAAGCATGAAAGCTAGTCTCTTTCACCAACAAAAACTGGTTCAACAAAAGATACTACCTCACCCCACTTCTCTCTTTCATATCCTGGGAACAACACTGTTACAACAACACTGTATACAGCTAATATTAAGTTAGTCTCATAATTTAGTACATTAGGCACTCAGGCACTACTAATATGAGAGATGTATAAGAATGTATGTAGAATAGAGCAGAGTTTTATGCTTCTATAAAACTATCTGGGGGATTACCTAATTTATCATCACTTTCAGTCTAATTTCATCACTTTTTGAACTTAATATAAATATTTACATACACTATAACATCATTAACTTTCAACTATAAATGTATTTTAATTAAAACATCATAAACGTTAAATTTTGACAGGAAGACACACACACTACTTACACATAAAACCAATGAAATATGTAAGATAAATACAGATATTAACCTTTTGATATTGCTATGTTTTTTCCCCTACAAGTTCCCCGTGCTAAACAGAAAGATACTCTACATTTAGAAACATATAGGGTAACTCATTCTCAAAAAAGGACATGGTATTTTTCTCCTATCACCCTTAAAAGTCTATAGTACTTTTTACCTTTTTCTTTTGTTCTTCTGTGGCTTTAATGATTCCTGGGTCTGATTTCCAGGATTTTCCAAAATTGTAGAAAAGTGCAACACTATTGGCAAGGAATGGAAGATGTATAAAAAGAAAACTGAGATGTGTTTAAAGTCAAGGAATCTAAAGATGTTCAAAATGAAAAAAAAAATTACACAACAACCAAACTGGGCTGAATTAACATCTGTCAACTTGAAATTAAGACAAGCAAACATAATTTTGTTCTAAAAAGTTTCCAAAATCAACATGACACTTAAAATAACCACATAATATTATATCATAAGGACTTCTACTGTACTTGGTTCTGCACATTTTCTTCAGGCAGTCTGGCTGACTAACTCTTTTTAATGATTTATACTGTGTTAGAAATAACTAAACTATAATTCCGATTTTATTTGGTCATTGTTTAATTTGAATTCCATACAATATTGTCTCTTTAAAGTATTTCCTGATTTCACAGTGAAGATACAGAAGTTCTATTTATAAAACTTCATTTGACTGCTTATGTCTTAATTGTCTTAAAATTCCAGTTAAAACACCAAAAAGAACGCTATTGGCCATATAAGGGACTGTCTAACAGGGAATGATGTCACATGGCAATAATCCCTCAACTTTTGCTCATTTCTAACACTCTACTCAGAGTTCAGATACTAATTTGAAAGCTCTCTCAGTCTAAAGTAAATAACCAAAAAAGCCAAACTGTTTTTGGAGTGCTGTGTGAAACATGATTATCTTATAAGCAAATGAATCATATCTCAGACCAATGGAAGCCATTTTGAAATATATAATCCAATATATATAAAATACCAATTCTTAGTATTGCTGAAAATAATGATAAATTCAAGTACAATGTAAATACAAGAAATAACCACTCGTTTAAAAACGTTTCCCATGCTAAAATATACGAAGGTTTATAGTGGTTTAAATCACATAATTAATAAATTCCCTAGTAAAAGCCAATAACGAGCATGAAGTATAACCAGGGGCGGCCCCAGACTAGCTGCCAGCAACTGATGCCCTAGGTGAACCATGCAATTGGCGCCCCTACCTCCAAACCCTTCAATGATATTGCACCACCATTTGGTGTCCCATTTAACTTGGCGCCCTAGGCGACCACCTAGTTCGCCTATATGGACAGGCCCCAAAATCTAGCATGTTAGTGTGCCAATTCTACTAGCATGTACATGAGTGACTTTACTCAGAGTAGTCCCACTGATTTCAGTTGTCATTGGGACTACTTACAGGAGTATGGTTTGTTATTTCTGTACATTTTTGCACCATCAAACCTTGAATATGGATTGATAAGTACAGAGTTTTATATAGCTTATGTACTATGTATATGAACATTTTATGCATTGATAATCTATAAAATGTATGCAATTTATGGGAAACAGTTCTGTTTATTATTAATAATAATTATTAATAATTATTATTAATTTTTAATGGCATGGAAAACACAGATTTTGGAACCCCACAGCATGTAAGTGGATTATTAATGCTTAATATGACACTGCTTTTTAGAAGATAATCAACAAACAAGTAACATTATCTAAAACATTCCACAACAATATATAGACAATCAAAATGAAAATAAGAAAAATGATATGGAATCCGAATTTTCATTTTTCCTATACTGTCTTTATGCCATGCTGGCAACATATAGAGAGTCATTCAGTATAAATGTAATTAATACCTCTTTATACTAGTGGACACCATAAACTGCCAATATGTCTAACACTGCAATGGGACAGGCTTTTATATCTTATAATTTATTGTACCTCAACCAAACTTCCTTACTCTAATTCTGTTCTCTGAAGGAAAAAAAATAGATGTAGACTTCAACTGTAACTGAAAATGTTTGATAAGCTAATTTTAACTTTTTATAATGAATTATTAAAAAGCCTCTTAGCATTTTAGCTCACTAGAAATACTAGTTTTCTGAGAAGCTTAAATATAACAAGCTCTTTTCATTAACTTTATAAATTATATAGCCCCATGTACATCATAACCTAATATATGCCCTTCTACATTGGCTCTACTACTGATTAAAAGCTGAGTTTAATCTTTTTGTAACTCAGTTTCTTGCTAAATGCTTTTTTTTTTTTTAACATTAGTTCCTGCCAAAAATAAGTTAACTTTATTTAAATAGCTTTAAAGGTTTACATTTTCTCTAAAATATTACTATTTACACTGATATTTGTGTCACAATAAAAACGTAGAAAAATGAGAGAAATATCTTTTAATTAAAATCCCGTAAGCAGATGTTCTGCTACGAACAATAAGATACAAAAGAAAAAAAGTTACCATTCATTCCAAATTACTTAACATCATGTCTAGACTGCTAAAGAGAAAAAAGGAACTAAGGCAATTTATTTTTTCACCAGTAAAATAGTTTTATGGCCCTCAGTTTGTTGCCTTACTTTTAATTCACTATATGAAATCTACTGTGTAAAATTTGGACAATATGATTCTATAATCAAGAAACTATTCATACTGCCACTTGGGCCTGGCTGTAACATGGAGAATTTTTTTTCTTTTGCATGTTCCTCTCATTCTGCACTCTTCACTCACACATATTATACTAAATTTTCCTGGTGTTTCTTGGGTCCTTAATTCCCCCCCCCCCCCATTTAAGTCATTGATCTGGAGCAGGGCTAACGATGAGGGGTTCAACATGCATGCTGCCCTGGTAATAGAGCACTACCTCAGCCCCCTCTCACTGAAGCAGCTTGGGGCCAAGTGAGAAGCACCTTTTCATGGCCACTGAAGCTCCAGCAGGCATGGCTGGGGGAGGGGTGTATGTCACCTTGCTGGGGCAGGCCCAGGCTTACCAGCCAGTGAGAAATGCAGCAAATTGTGCACTTTCCCCTTGCTCCCTGATGAACAGTAACAGCCAGCAATTTCCCTGTAGGAATTGGGTGGGAGGATGCTTGACCCTCCCCCCACAAAGGGCACCTGACAAATGGGAGGCTCAGGACTGGAGCAGTCCCAAAAAGGGGATGAGGCACCCCTGCAGCCTCTTTTATCTGCCTGGTGTTTGTCTCTTTTCTGTATGGTTTTCTGAAAAGCAATCCCATTCAAGAAACACCCCATTTTCCTAGCAAGGTAAGGGTTTGGATGGGCTTTAAATTATGGCAAGAGGAAGCTGCATACAACATTTAGTGGTCCTAGCTATTACCATATAGGAGTTCTTGAACAGACACTCAAATATATAGTAGATGTACAGATCCTAAGGATATGTCTACGTTACAAGTTTATATCCACCTATATTACAGTAACATACTGCCTCCACAGTAATTAAATTGCTTGTGCCTCTAGAAAAACAAGAGGTTGAGCGGAGGATCACAGTGAGCTTCTGAGGCAAACACCACCCCCCAGAACTGCAGGACCTTCAGGGCATGGCCAGAGCTTTGCCACAGTTAACTCCGCAGCATAGACCAGATATAAAAGCCATTAAATGAAATGGCAAAGTTCAGCCCCTCCCTTCTTACATTAGGAGGACTCCAGGAGATAAGTGTAGTATTGGCAGGGCCCTACCAAATTCATGGTCTATGTTGGTCAATTTTACACTTACAGGATTTTAAAAATAGTAAATTTTATTATTTCGGCTATTTAAATCTCAGATTTCAGTGCTGTGTAATTGTAGTGGTCCTGACCCAAAACGGTGTAGTGGAAGGGGGTCACAAATGCCCTGTTGGGAGGGTTGTGGTACTGCAACCCTTACTTCTGCACTGTTGTTGGTTGTGGCACTGCCTTCAAAGTTGGGGAGTCGTGGCTACTGGCTGGGAGCTCAGCTCTGAAGGCAGTCACCACCAGCAACAGCAATGCAGAAGTAAGGATGAAGTAAATGATACTGTCATCCTTACTTCTATACTGCTGCCTTCAGAGCTGGGCTCTCAGTCAGTAGCCACCGCTCTCCAGCCACCCAGATCTGAAGGTAATGCAGAAGTAAGAGTGGCAATACTGTGATATCCCTCCCAAAATAACCTCGGGACCCTTCCTGTAACTCCCATTTAGGTCAGGACCCCCAATTTGAGAAACACTGGTCTCTCCTTTAAAATCTGTTCAGTATAGGGTAAAAGCACACAAATAACCACATTTCATGGTCCATGACACTTTTTTCATAGCCATGAATTGAACAGGCCCTACATATTGGTAGGAAAATCATCCTCCTAAGGACATAAAATAGGCCATGTGGATGCTGAAACTGAAAGGAAGGCTAATGGGGATGCAGGATTATGGATGAATGATAAAATGAATGGGGCATCAAATCTCATGAAAATGAAAACGAGAAAATAAGTGAAGTACACAAATAAGAATCTGAGAGGGGGAACACTGTTCATTGTTCAACTCCATCCTGTAACTTTGACCTTGGGATTAGTGCTGTAGCCACACTGTGCTAAGGGACAGTGAGGAATGGAGCTTTTTCATTCTTTCCTCTTAAAGTGGTTTCATTTTTTTTAAATGAGCTTATGATGGAGGCCTCACCACCTCCATACTTATTTTTCCTTTTGTCAAGTACCTGGAAGTCTAAATGAAAGTATTCAGGTTAAAACTAAACATTTCCTTTTGACATTACCATAATGCTTTGTGTTGATTTTTTCATTTTGTTAACATTAAAAAATTGTGATTGTTAAAATTTCTTCAGATGGAAAAATGTGAACAACAATTTTTGGATCACAAGCTGACACTCTCTTACATGCAAGAGAGCGTTCATTCAGTCTGGACTCTCTCTATTAAAAAAGCAGATCGCTTTTACGATTCACTTTCGCAGTGTGGACACTCTCTTTTGGAAGAAGTTTTTCCAGAAGATCTCTTCCGAAAAAAGCTTCTTCCGAAAGAAGCCTGTAGTCTAGACGTAGCCTGAGAAGGGAGAAACAATAAAAGGAAACTTGGAAATGACAGAGGTGCTTAATGACTTCTTTATTTCGGTCTTCACCAAGAAGTTTGATGATGACAGGATACCATAGCATTCCATAGTGAATGCTAGTGAAAATGTAGTAGGTTTAGAAGTTAAAAAAAGAACAAATTAAAAATTACTTAGAAAAGTTAGATGTCTTCAAATCACCAGAGACTGATGAAATGCATCCTAGAATACTTAAGGCGCTGATGATAGAGGAGGTATCTGAGCCTTCAGCTACCATATCTGAAAAATCATGGAAGTCAGGAAAGAGTCTATAAGACTGGAAAGGGGCAAATATAGTGCCCATCTATACATGAACAACCCAGGAAACTACAGAACAGTCAATTTAATTTCTGTGCCAGGAAAAATAATGGAGCAAGTAATTAAAGAATTCAACTGCAAACATCTGGAAGAAAATGTGATAGGTAACAGCCAGCATGGATTTGTAAAGAACCATGCCAAACGAATCTGATAGCTTTCTTTGACAGGATAACATGTCTTGTGGATAAGGGAGAAGTGGTGGACGTGGTATACCTAGACTTTAGTAAGGCATTTGATACGATCTTGCCAGACCTTCTTATCAAACTAGAGAAATACAATTTAGATGGGGCTACTATAAGGTGGGTGCATAACTGGGTAGATAACAGTTCTCAGGGAGCAGTTATTAATGGTTCACTGTCATGATGGAAGGGCATAACAAATGAGGTTCTGCAGGGGTCTGTTTTGGAACCAGTTCTGTTAAATATCGTGATCAATTATTTAGATAATGACACAAACAGTATGCTTATAAAGTCTGCAGATGATACGAAGCGGGGAGGGGTTGCAACTGCTTTGGAGGATAGGGTCATAATTCAAAATAAAGAAATGGTCTGAGGTAAATAGGATGAAGTTTAATAAGGACATATGCAAAGCACCCCACTTTGGAAGGAACAATCACTTTTATACATACATAATGGGAAGTGACTGTCTAGGAAGGAATACTACAGAAAGGGATCTAGGGGTCATAGTGGATCACAAGTTAAATATGAGTCAACAGTGTGACACTTGGGGTAAGTCTATACTTGCTCCCTAGTTCAAGCTAGGGATGCAAATGTAGCCAACTGAAATTGCTAATGAAGCGGGGGTTTAAATATCTCACGCTTCAGTAGCATAATCTCACCCACGAGTTATTCCACTCAACAGCTGATTCAAACAAGGAAGTGCGCTCCGGGATGCGTTAGTTCGAATCAAACTCCTTGGTTCGAACTATCGTTACTCCTTATTTTTCATCAAAATCACTGCTGATGGACTGATCTCAGAGAATCCATCTACACTGTAGTGTAGAGGTAGCCTTATATCTTTACTTAGGAATTACACACTGAGTAATAAAATTCACTGGTAAATAAAAGTAGTAAACACAAGAAACTATATAGCATTACACTGATTTTTAAAGAGTCAAAACTGTAGATATTTAATGGGCATTTTGACATTTAAAGGTACATGCCTATAAACCTCCGAAATAGCCTCAGTGTATTCAAATGTGTCAGTGACAACTACATTATTAATGGTTTTTCATGGAGACAATGTTTTGTGACAAGCTCATTTAGAGACTTAGTTCTGTCATCTTTTATATTTTAAATGATCATTTTAAGTTGGAAATCTTTGTAATAAAATGCCAAAGTAATTCTAGTTCTTTTGGCAAACTGTCCTGTAACCTTAACAAGGAAAAAAAATCACGTCTGCTTTATTTTTTTAGCACAAGACAGAGAACTGTGGTCAGAGTAAAAATCTTTATATTTTTACAGCTTTATATGATTACTTAGAACAGAGCACAGTACTTCTTTATTCTCTGTAGTGTTGGTAAAGTGATATCTGATTAAATTCCTCTTTGTGGCAGTTTTTATTAAATGAATCTGGCAACTTATTTTACTCAAAATTAAAAACACTTTCAAAAGGATTCATTAAACATCAAGTTGCTTTATGAGGATTTTTAATGCAATAATATTAAGTAGGACTGTCAATCACAGTTAACTCACAGGATTAATCCAAAATTAATCACAATTAAAAAATAATTATGATTAATTGGGCTGTTAATAGAATGACAACTGAAATGTATTAAATATTTTCGATGTTTTTCTACATTTTCAAATACACTCATTTCTACAACACAGACTACAAAGTATACAATGCTCACTTTATAATTTTATTACAAATATTTGCACTGTAAAAATGGTAAGAGAAATAGTATTTTTCAATTCCCATCATATAAGCAGTGTAGTACAATTTCTTTATCATGAAAGCATAATTTAAATATGTAAGTAATTTTGTTGTTTAACTGCACTAAAAAAGTAAAACTTTAGAGCCTACAAGTCCATTCTGTCCTATTTCTTGTTCAGACAATCGTATTAAATTTGTGACTGAAATCTTTGGGGGAGAACTGTTTGTCTCTAATTGTTTTACTTGCATTTTGCCATATATTTCATGTTATAGCAGTCTCAGATGATGACCTATCACGTGCTATTTATTTAAAAAATACTTCCACTGCAGATTTGACAAAACACAAAGAGAGTACTAGTGTGAGATTTCTAAAAATAGTTAGAGAACTCATCGAGACATTTTAGATGCTGAAGTGACAGCCAAAATCTGAGAATGAGGTGTGCAGCATAATTTCAGAAGTCTTCAGAGAGCAACACTGATGCAGAAACTACAGAATCTGAACAATCAAAAAAGAAAATCAAACTTCTGCTGGTGGCATCTGATTCAGATGATGAAAATAATTTATCAATCCATTCTGCTCTGGATAGTTATCGAGTGGAATCCATCAGCATAGATGTATACAGTATCTCCTTTTGGAATGGTGGTTGAAGCATGGCGGGCCATATGAAACTTTAGTGCTTCTGGCATGTACATATCTTGTGACGCCAGGTACAAGAGTGCCATGTGAACACCCATTGTCACTTTCAGGTGTCACTGTAAACAAGAAGCAGGCATCATTATCTCCTGCAAATTCTAACCAAACATGTTTAGCTGAGTGACTTGCTGAACAATAAATAGGACTGAGTAGACTTTAGACTCTAAAGTTTTACATTGTTTTATTTTTGAATGCAGTTATTTTTTGTACATGATTCTGCATTTGTAGCTTCAACATCATTGATAAAGAAACTGCACTACAGTACTTGTATTAGTAAACTGAAAAACACTTTACAATGCAAACATCTGTAATAAAAGTAAATATAAAGTGAGCACTGTACACTTTTGTATTGTGTATTAATTGAAACAAAAATATTTTAAAATGTAAAAAACATCCAAAATATTGTAAATGATTTTCTCTTGTTTAACATCACAATTAATCATAACTTTTTAATCATATAAATAAATGTGATTTTTAAAATTCTGATATGTTAAAATACTTAGCATTTTCATATTGTCTTCTATCTAATGATCAAGATCTGTTCAATTTCTTTTTTTTATTTTTAAATTAAAGTTAATTGCTGAAAACGTTATCAAGTAATATTCCAGATGTTTTACAATAAGCCACAACAATTCAGTATATACAATTTAATGTCCAGTTAAGGTAATATAACTTTCTACTTGAGATGCCAGTGAGTCAAGGAAGAGGATAGAAAATGAATATCATGAAAACTATTTAAAACTTTAACAGCTGACTTGTGCAATTTTAGGGTGGTCACATGAAAAGTGAGGCAATTTAGCTTAACTGCCAAGATTCACACTTTTGGCTTTCTGTTCCAATCCCTGTGTGGTTCTATTAGTGGTGGGAGTAATCACACCATGGAATCAAAATCTGTTTATTTTGTGAATATGAACTAAAATAATTAATTTATCCCCACATTCCCACTGTGTCTTTGGGTTTAGAAGTGGAATTTCCCTCCATATTTACTGTAAAAATTCAGGACATACAGTAGCATATGAACTGTATAAATAATAAATCTGTTCATGAAATCTCTTCTCAAATACAGCTGAGCAAGACATTTGCAAGTAATCCCTAACAAATGTCAGAATGCTCTTTTATAGCAATAATTTTCCAGGATATCTGCATTGCATGTACTAAACTGTTCACAGTATCATTTTTCTCCATTTAGTCATAGTGTGCAACTCATTTTAGGTATTTTCAATCCTCTTTTATACAATGCAAGATTTGTAACTTGAAGCAGATTACAGAATATGAGCCAAGTTAATTCCCAGCCCATAGAAGTTTGTGGTTAAATTTCTCCACTGATACGAGTAGGTATTCTCTTTTGCATATTTTAACCACACAAAGAAAGGGACTTGAAATTGACTGACTTTACAAAGAAAAGGGGAACAAAGATACTACATTCAGCATGTTATTTCATAAAGGTGTTTTTTTTAGAAATAGTGCTGAATGCAAGACAGTTCATCATGATTTTCAGATACAAACCAAAGACCTTTCTATAACTTATAGAGTATGCACTGTATTTAAAATTGTACTGTGTAGCCTTCAATCTTTTCCATATTGTATCTGGAAATAATAGATTGGCCCAATAAGAGGGTGTGCAAAAAGAGCAGCGGCAGCCAGAGCCCTAGGCTTTTTAAATCGCTGCTGACACCTTCACATGGTGTACTCTGGACAACTCAGAAGGCTTGTGCTGTTAGGGTGGCATTGGAGACTGGCTGCACCAGCCCTGCCTCTTCGGCCTGAAATCCAGCCCTTCTGGGAGCACAGAGCAACTCCCCCACCCCACATTTCGATGGGGCCAGCAATCCTGTTGGTCCCCTCTGATTATAGTCACCGAACTGCATAATGCAACATTATTCAGCTGATGGAATTTAATTTACAAGTAGTAAAAATAATTAATATTTTCGATTGCTATAGCATAGTAAAGTTCTATTTTAACAAAACCAATTAAGCATTAAGAATTTTAAATGGTTGTAGCTATTTTAAAATTACAATCCATTCTTTACTTCTGAGGTCATATTTAGAACTCAGCACTGATATTAAACGTATACAAATCACAAAAATGAAAAATTATATTACTGAAAACAAGAAAAAGGATATCATTCCAAAACCAGAAAAACCAGGTCACATACATCCAGAATTTAGTTGCCAAGTATATTCCAAGAGGCAGGGCACTATGCATTGAGTGATCAAAGAATGATCTGTAAAACAACAAAAGTGACATCACATAGTATGTTCTTTTATGTGTCATTTAAATTCAGTATTACTATACATGAAAAAGCCTCTTTTTATGCAATACATCAAACAACAATATCTCCATATACTCTTTGCAAAAGATTTCGTTTCTGGAACTTTTCAGAGCCTGTAGAAGTCTAATTTTCAAACTTCCCTGATGCAGAAGGATGGATGAGAGTCAGTTAATGTCACTCCTCAGATGGTCAAAGGGATAACTATGGTATAATATAAGACAAAAAGGAAGCAGGGCTGACATGAATCTTTAACCAGAATATTATATTAATGTTTTATGCTATCTGCAGGCCAATATGTGAACTCTTACAAAAGCAATTTTAAACCTAGTCTACAAGATTTTAATGGTTGGATGCAATCTTCAGAATAAGTCTCAATTCATAAATGAATGGTCCCCGTTCTCTTTTATGTCTATAGACATCATATAATTTCATATTCATAGATTTCAA